AGATTAAATCTGATGAACACGTGTGTACAGAGGGAAGCAGAAAATGGGAGGACGAGGGAGAGGGGCAGAAACCTGCCTAACAGATACAACGAACACTACCTGGGTGACACATTTGAACACTATCTGATGGGCACATTTACAACGCTGGCTCAAACGTGAAAAAAATGGGTACATGTAAACAAAAACATTTGCACCTGGGACATGGTTTGAAATAAAAAAAAGAAAAAAGAAAGAAAAGAAATCCTAAAAAAAAAAAAAAAAAAAAGTGGGGGAGGGTTGCGAAATCAGCTGCTTCCAAATTTGAGCCCCAGACAAGTACCATCTGGCTTTCTGGCTTACCTTTCCTAAAGACCAGGTTCCTGTTAGATGTCAGAGCACAGATGGTATGATTTGCATCATGATTTTCTTTGGCTGCGTTGTTTTTCATTTCATTGAATGATGTTTTCCAAGCAATCTTATTGATTTCGCTGTCACTCACATTTATATCAAGGAAAGTCGTCATTTTCCTTATGCTTTTAGAAAGATCCTGAGCAAGAAGCAAACCCCAAAATAGGTGAAACTCTTATCAAAGCACCAAATTCCTTCCCTGAAACCCAAAAGCTGAATTCATGAATTGATTTCCTATTTTACCTCTATAGAATTTAAATGTTGATTGTCAAAACATTGGGGAACACTTACTTTTTTCATTTCCTCATAGGATATTATTAGAATGTTTTTATTGTCTTTGTGCTTTTCCCAGCTTAAAACGTGATCGAACCAGGATCCATACACCACTGAAAGAAAAGGGAATTGTCGTGTGAATGTTAAACATGGTGGCTTTGCATCTCTGGATTCGTCTCACTTCAAAGAATTCAAAGACAGGCTCATACCTAGACTCTGGAGTGACAGTTCTCCCTACAAGAGCTCAATGCCACTATTGTTTCAACTAAGTACAATCTTTTGATATGAACTTGGAGGATGGCCATGTCTTTTATAAGGTTGTTGGTGTTTTATCTCCTCTTTCTAGCAAATATTCTTCTACCATTTGAAAAAAAATAAGGCAATAGAAATACAAAGATACATGTTTTTCCAACAATTGTGTTCTGATTACTGCTTTGGCTCTTAGGAGAAATAGGGAAACATTTAGAATTTATCATTTTCTTCCTGAAATGTGACATGTTTTTCATAATTATAGGCTCTTAGCATAAAAAGTTTATAAAATTCTATGAAAGAAAGATTCTAATGACTTATCTTGGTTTAAGGCTGAAAAATACAATCTTAGGGATTTGTCTGTAGTGTTATTTTCTTAAAATCTCTTTCTTGTTGTTAAATGACAGTCTTAGAAAACTCCCAAGACTTAGAAGTAAAATAATGTCATGAAAAATTACCTCCTCAGCAGTGATGATTAAGAATAAAAAGTGAGCAACTTCTTGTCATCACAAAAAGTCAACTAGCTTGAAATCTAAAGTATAAAACATAGTAATTTAAGGTACTACATATACATCATTCCATGCAACTTATTATCCAAGCTTTCAATTCTACCTAACGCCCCAAGCATAAAAGAGCTAATCTACTAGTGATTTCCTGAAGATCTGCTGACTTCTGATTCATCGAATAAACATTTATTAAGCCATTAGTGTCTTCCAGACACCATGGCACACATTTCAAATGTTAAAGCTTTGAATATATTGAAATGTAATTACCCCCAAACTAACTGCAATTTCTCATGGCTTCAGTTTTTGAAGAAACAAAGGGCAAGAAAATAACCATAATGTATTTTTAAAACCGGAATTTCCCAAACTACTTAGGTGTCATTAAAGAGCTCAGTTCTCTGTCCCAGGGGCCCACGGGTTATAGGGTATAAGAACAGGTTCTTGAAAAAGCTGACCTGTTACAGCCTTTAGTTACCAGTCATCTTAGGCTGTTTCAGGGACTTACATAATACCTTGTCCTAGAATTACCCAAATTACCATGTACTGATAAGAGGTTCATCTTCTAAAAATGGCCAATTTTTTTTCCCAGACGTAAACACTGGTGAGTGGGAAGACTGGTCTCTCATTTTAATGTTTCAGAAGGAAATGCCTTAAAATAGATTTAAGGATGAACTTTTGGAACCATAGCCGATGGTAAGTTGAGAACCAGCTATTCTATTATTAACTATATTAGTTTATACCAAGGCCGCATTAATACAATCTATGCTTCCCATCAGCTATTCCAAACCTGCCACGCTTCTTGCAAACCTTCTATCCCTCTCACACATTGGATTATAATGAGCATCTTAACTTCAAGTTTCCACAAAGCACTCTGAATACAGGGTAGTTGTGCAGAAAAGCAAAACTCTCTGGGATGCTTTAACCTAGGAAACATAGTACTGACAGAAGACTCGAGAAGGCATTATAGGAGAAAAAAAAAAAAAAAAACCAAAGTGCTAAGATGATAGCTTTCTTGGGATATCAATCAGCCAGGGCTATGTTACAACACCACTAACAGTTACTGTTTAACTTGAAAAACTAACATGTATTTACATACTATGTGAAAGGTAAATTAGACGATTATATAAATGACTAGCTATCTATGTCTAGTGTACTATAATCTATAACTTTTATAACAGGTATGAGACATCATGATGCCCCAGTTGTAAAATAATCTCTTTAGATAACAACCTACTTGCAACATTTCTGTCCTGGTGTGAAACTACAATAGAACATCTATAAGTGGCCACACAAATGATTGTAACAAACCAGTCACCACATGGAGGTGGACAACTTAAGGAACTAGGCCTGCTGTACTGACATGTGCATGTGGTACATGTCTGGTCTATGAAAATTAGGGCCACTTAAGGAGACGGGCAATGTAGGAAGATAGTCAGCTATGGAGGGTCTACTGTATTTAAAAGTTTTCTGTGTCTAGTAGAATAACAACTAAGTCTATTTGGAAGGCCACTGGGAATATTTTACCCAAGAATATATTTCTTTGACATATTTTGAAATGACTGCAATAAGTCCAGAAGACAGAAGTAAGGCTGCAATGTTGTCTTTTGAGGGCGGAAATTTTCATCTATAGAGAATCTCCATTAATCCAGCCAGGTCTTTACTTACTCAATCTAGGAAAGATTAACTCATTTCCTGAAGAGAAACATTTACCATGGCTTCTCTTGGAGGGCTGCTCCCTATAACGTTTCAACATACATAACGTGCCTGTCTTGGCTAGCAAACCTTCCTTTCTCTCTCCTACAACCCATTCTGCCACCACAAACCAGGTTAGCTACAATCTAAGCCCCATTCTTTGAAAACTTCTGTCCCTCATTGAGAAGCTGAGTTTTCACTCTGAAAGATCTCAGGCAAACTGGTTAAATAAATTTGAATGTTTTATTTTCTCCTATTAATCAATCTGCCTCATGTCAGTGATTTTTCAGCAAACCTTTATGGGGTCAAGGGCCTTGCTCACTATAATTTCTACAGCAGATTTCAGCCATTACCTATCTTAACAACCCTGGGAACAGATCTATTAATCCTATTTTATATTAGGAATGTAGACAGAATGGTTATGCTGCTTGTCCAAAGGCACAAGGGGAATAGGCACAGTCAGGAATTGATACTAGGCTTTCTGCCTCCGTTGCCTGTTCTTTGTATGACATCATATTCTCATTAACAAAAGAAACAACCCTCCCTTCCAAAATTCATTGAAGAACATCCCTGAAACATAGTCACATGCATGTAACACATACGCACACGCCAGGAAAGCAAACAACCCTCTAAGTACTGAAAAGTGAAATTATGGTTACCATCCAAATAGATTTATTTTAAAAGCTTTAGTGATTCAGTGACTATTCCTGGTGGTGAAAGGGTTTGTCCAGGATCAATTACCCACCTATAAATACTGGCAAGAAGAATCCTTTACAACTAAAAGTCTATTTATTCTCCTAAGAAGGTATAAAAGAATCACCTGGAATACTGTTCCACCTCCACCCTGCCCCTTCTGGACATTCTGCTAGGACTCCTGGTAAAAATGTCAGATGCTCCTTGACTGCAAGTGACTGGCGCTGAGTTCTGACCTTAGTGGGCATTTCTGTGGCTGCATGCACAGAACAGTAATCTCAAGAACAGGAGTGGGGCTAGGCCTGCTGCACTCTGCCCTGGTGAGGTCATGCCCACAGTGGGCTTTGCACAGTAACAGAGAGGTGGTGAAATCAGTTCACATAGCCATGAGAGAGGGCTGGTGAACCCCAGTTGCGATGATGGGAGAGAAAGCAGCATTTCTTGTCATGAGGAAAAGCAGACTCTTTTGTTTTTTTTCAATTTATGTATTTAAACCCTGCTCACTCCAAAAATGGAACTGAAGTGGATTAAGGCATGCTAACTATCTTCAAATATTTAGAACCCTATCATGTGGAAGACGAATTAATGATCAGAATTTTGGGGGGGGGCAGGGGGGATGGATGAATTATGGCTACAGTGGTGAAGGCAATGAATTTGGAGCTGGCACCTAAATTTAAATCTTGACTCTGCTCCTTGTTACCTCCACATCTGTGACAAGGTTCCCCAGGACCTAGCTAAGTGTCTAATCATACAGTCAGTATGGAGTAGATAACAGGAATGTTTTTTATAACATCTCAGTATTTCCAAGATGCTTTGTAGGGGTAGTGGATCTGTTTACAGAGTTAAGACTTTCAAGCTTCACCCATGCAACCCCGGGGGATGTTGTGGGATGATTCAAACATCAGTTGGGGGTTTTGAGCAGATAAACTCTAAGGCCCCTGTCACTCTTGAAATCTTATGATTCCACTAAATGTGTGACATTCATGGAAAGTTCAGGAGGAATTTAGACGAGAAAGAGGCATAATCTTCTAAAGGGAATAGAGCAAAACAATGTATAAACCTGTTGCTGGTGGGTTGCCAGTGTCCTCAGGTTTAAGTTATGCTTGCTGAACAAATAAATGAAAAAAAAAAAAAGTTTAACAACGTGCAGGGGGAAAGGCAAAATTAGCAAATAAAAAGATCCACTCTAAGTCCAGTAAGAAATAGGATTTGGGGGGTATCCGTCATCTCATCAATTATTTATCTTCTAAATTGTGTATATTTATTTTTGTTCAATGAAAGGATTCAGAACTGAGCATAGTTTGGCTTTTTTTTCAGTGCCTCAGACACCACTGAGTCAGGGGAAGGAGAATACATTCAAAGGTGGTGCAGGACGGGCGTGTGCTGGGTAGCTCAGTGACACCAAGTTCCATGATGATACTTTTCAGATAAAGTGCTTCCTTTAGTTTCTAAAAAACTGATTATTTCCTAGTTTGTTTATTTGTATATTTGGGGGATTCATTTGTGCGCATGTGTGTTTGTATATTTTTTGCTGATTTGTATTATTTTAATTTCCAGGCTTTCAGCAGTATATTTCTGAACTCCAATCGGTCCACAACTATGTCACTGAAAAGGCTGATAATGTGTGTGTACATGCATATAAAAAGCAGATAATGTGTGTTCGTACAGAATTAATCTCTGTTTTGGAAAAGTTAAAACCAGCTCAATAAGGGACCATTAATAGGTACCAACCACAGATAATAAGAGAGACTGAAGAAGCAAAGTGAGAAAGAATTTGCTTAACAAAGATCACAGAATAAGCTAGTTGATGCCCTTCAGAAAACACACAGTTAAGACCCATTTGCACTCTTGGAAAAATGCTTTCGTGTTGAGGGAGAAAGTCCGCGGCACGTTAGGAATGAAAATCATTTTTAGACTTACCGTCTCCTCTTAGGAATAGCTCTAAAAACACAGCCCACGTCTCGATGCAGGGGAGATTAGGGTTATCTCTGTAGTAGTGGAACAGAGAAACAGCTGTATCTTTTGGATTCCTAATGACGTAGATTATCTGTTTAAAAAAAATTAATTTATTCTTGGATGACAATAACCTAAATACAAAACATTTCCTAAAAGAAAGTAGCAGCTGAACTTAACCTGTGCACATCCCAGTGATTTTTGCCAGCTTCGACTGATGATTAAACACCGAGTTAGGCCAGTGTCTCTCAAAACTTAATGGGAATAAGAATCGTCAGGGGATCATGTGAAAATGCAGATTCTCAATCGGGAGGCACAGGATGAGACCTGACATGCTGCGTTTCCAATAGGCTTCCAGGTGATGTTATGCTGCCAGTGTACCAACCACACTTTTTAAATTTATGCACTAAGTTTGGTCCTATCTTTTAGGGGTAGCCATGGAGAAAACCCTCCTACTCATAGGACAAAATTACTTTTTTAATATCCATATATTATTAAACTGATTTACATAGAATAAGATGTCTTGCAAACTGTTTATTTATTTATTTATTTATTTATTTGAGACAAGGTCATGCACTGTTCCCCTGTTAGAGTGAAATGGCATCATTATAACTCATTGTAATAACTTCAAACTCTGTCAAGGGATCCTCCTGTGTGAGTATCCTGAGTAGCTGGGACTATAAGCACACAGCTTATTTTTTAATTTTTTATAAAGATAGGTCTCCCTATGTTGCCCAGGCTGGTCCTGGACTCCTGACCTCAAGCGAGGCCAAACCACCTTGGCCTCCCACAGTGCTGGGATTACAGGCATGGGTGTATACTGCACCCAATCATCCATTCTTATTTATAGGAAAAATACTATTTGGGTGTTTCCTTTGGCTACAATTTAGTCCCCAAAGGAGCAGGGAATCTGAGATATACTCCCAATTTCTATGAATACTGTAAGTGCAACTTAAGTCAATTCAATAAATAGGCATTTGGTATCTCCTTTGTATAAGGGAGTGTATAGTGCTCCACATCCAAGGAATATAATAATGAGAAAAACAGAAATGGTTCCAGCCCTCTCAAAATTCATGGTCGGGTAAAGAAGGGCAATTACCTTTGAGGGCTGTAATCAGAGAAGGATAAGGGGCAGCAGGCATATGCATCTAATCATAGGAAGCCAGTGGGACAGGCTGGGTGTGACAGGGTTATCTTTGATCCTGGTCACTACTGCACAGTACCAGATGTTCTAGATGTTGTACTTGCATTTAATTGACAGTCAGGGTAAAAAATTAATTGTACTTGGGTAAGAAAGAGTTTGCCGAGTCACCCCGAGTACTTCCTGTCTGTGTCATGTTCATAGTCCAGGCACTGTGTGCTCCTTGAGGGATGAGTAAAGGCCACTGTTTACAAAAGGAATGTCACCTCCCCCACCATCCCTGCCACCCTCGTGTCCTCTTTCTATCCCAAGAGTGACTTGTGGAAGAACCCAACATATGCTCTAGGCTTCTGAGTGGATTCCCAGAGCCCAAGGCTCAAAGAGCACAGTTTGAAAAATCTACTGCCTTAACCAAAAAGGATAAAATGAAAGAAATGTAAAACTCAGCCAGTCAGTTGGACCTATTGATTTTGGCATAGAAAATAGTTTTTAGGGCCTTCAGAGCCCCCCGCCCCCAAGTTGCACGTCTCTATTATCTACTGGGGATGACAACGCAACCCATGAAAGTGTATTTCACACAATGTGTTGGAAGAAATCACCAGAATTATTGGAGAGGGTTGGGGGGAAATGCAGCCAGTGTCAACTATGGAACAAAAAATCATGACATGAGCTGGAAAACATACATTTCACACCAGAGAGTTTAGAAACAACAACAACCAAAAAAGCTGAAATAAGAATTCAGAAGAAACCATAGAAGGCCAGGTTGGGTTGAGAGCTGGCAGGGAAAGACTGGGAAGGGACGTGGTGTCTGACAGGCCAGGCTGGAGCCAGAAAAGCTTGTCCAGTCTGGGGCTCTCAGGGGCCATGGGCAGCAGAGGATAAGTCAGGCTGTCAGGTGTAGAGACTACTGGAGAGGTTCAGTCCCTGGGGAGGGGCATGTTGACAGTGCTGTACTTTAAGCCTCTACCCTCAGATGGTTAAGAAGCACCCTAAGCTTTCTTTACTTATCAAGGAGAAATGCCTCCACTTGCCGTTGTCATGCACACACGTACAAAACACACAGCTAGATATTCAGGAGCTATCTGTTATCAGTGTGTTTGCCTTACCCTGAGTAAGGGTCATTGTGCTTCCTGAGGCCTCGCTGTTCCACTGGTTCTCTTTCCCTCCCTCTCCCTTTTTCTCTTCTCCTCCCCTACCCTCCCCTCCTTCTTCCTTGCCTCCCTCCCTGCCTTAGAAATGGTCTGTTTGAAATGAAAATGATTGGTTGAGTGATCCATCTTTCCCTGTTCTGACTGATTTGCTGGGGATGAAAGCAAATCTCCATGACATTTTCCCTCTGGTTGATGATGTTTACTTTCATCTGGGCAGAAGAGTAGATGGTGTGCACAGAGGCCTTGTGGTCACAGAGTTGCAGTCTTAGGAAGACCTGATGTGATTCATGCACACTTGACTGGTAGGCTGTTGTATTTTTAGGTTTAGAGTAAGGCTGACGTTGTCCGAAGACGTTTCATTACTGGGAGCTTGTTACAACTGTCACATGCATCTTGCCTTTGCTGGTCAAATATCTTCTTCTTCTTTTTTTTTTTTTTAATACTACTCATGCATACACCTCTAAAGAAAATACAATTCGGCCCTACTGGTATCCTGTAGAGAATCACTTGGCACGTATTACATCTAGTCTGTTTTTAATGCGTGTGCATGTACATTTTAACTAAGTCAAATAAGTCAGTATAAATGGATCTAAAAACATGGCTGTCCTTACCCTTACCCTATAAGCATTTCTCCATGAAAAAATAAATTTGAATAAGATATAAAAATAGAAAATATTCTTTGAAAGTACGATACTTTATAAATAATAATGTATACCCTTTTAAAGTGGCTTGCAGGTAGCTATTCTTGAGTTTTTTATAATTTATTTACTTTTCTTTTCCCATATCATATCTTGCACATTTGACAGATAATATAATTAATATAAGCAGCATTTGCTCTGCCACTTTCAAGCCATGAGACAGATTAAGAATCAAAGCCCATTTTCGTCAGACTCCTGAGCCTGTGCCCTTTGCCCTCGGACTCACCTTGCATTGGTTTTGTTTAATATTCCTGGGTAGCATGTCATAGTTCAAATGCGTTGGAATTACTCTTCTCTTAGAATGCATTTTTAGCTCTTCAAATTTAGAAATGTCTCCAAATTCAATAGGTGACGTTACAGTCATTTTAGCGTTGGGAATACTCCCAATGACTTCTGCAACCCAGTGAGTGCCTTCGCACAAAAAGAAAATAAAATGCAATCTTAATTAAATGTCACTCTTGGTGAAATGAATATAGAAAATTAGCATGTCGTAAAAGCAGTGAACAGTATTAGTTGTATTATAGATAGTTATGATTACCTCCTGACACCCATCGAAACCTGTAGAGACATTTGAGAGGCTGATTCATTTTACAGGTAGAATTACGTATGAAAGAGCACAAAGGAACACGAAAAGAGCACGTGCTGGTTCTGTGGGTTGAAACGCTCTTCTGTGCTGCAACTCACCTTTGGACCCTTCTGCAAGTGGCAAGTTCACACAGACCTTTCCACGTAAGATGTGTCCTGGTCCTGCAAGCTTGTGTATCTTTCCCTTGCCTAAAGTGTCTCAGCAGTCCCCACCACCTGCAGAATTGCTCTTGTCTCTGCATCTCCCCACATTGCACCCAACTCTCCCCTCTATTGGAGCCCACCCCACACCAGAGGATAGTTGCCTCTGCTCCTGTTCTTATCTGCCCTTTCTCTCTTGAAGATAAACAGTGAATCTTATTTTTGTTGATGTGCAAATAAATGATAGTTACATGAAGCATTTGAACAATGAATGGATGCTGTTTTCAAACATCATAGAAACACAAGCCTCCTACCATGGAATCTGGAAAGGAAACAATTTAATGTTGACATGAAGCTAATGATGAATGTGCACAAGTGTTGTCGATAATAGTAAATTACACTAGAGAAATAGAATTTGGCAGGGAAGGAGGGGGACATTTTGATAATTTGAAAGCAATGTCTGTCCCCAAAGAGTTTAAATCAGGCCTTATCTTCATTTCTCTCATTATAATTTCGATGAGATAAAATATTAACAAATGTATAGTTGAATGAGTATTTAAACAGTACTCTCATTTGCTTTGTATGTCTCAATATTAAGACCATTTTAAATTATAATGTAAGTCTTAAATATTTATAATTATAGTATTCATATAAATGTGACTCATATAGTAGTGATAGTGGTATTCTTTTAACAGAACATACTGATTTATTTTGATGAAGGAGAGGGAATATGCAAGGCTTTGTGGTCCTAAAGGGGACCTCCTAGCACCTTTGCAGATAGTAGAAGATGTCAAATTATAGGCATCATTATATGTAGTGGAAGACTATGTATAGTTGCTTATATGTGGTGTAAGTTAGCCACCTGCTTTAAGAATGTTTAAAATGTTATATATTAGTTTTTTTTTTTTTTTTTTTTTTAGACGGAGCCTCAAGCTATCCCCCTGGGTAGAGTGCCATGGCATCATGGCTCACAGCAAACTCCAACTCCTGGGCTCAAGCGAGTCTCCTGCCTCAGCCTCCCAAGTAGCTGGGACTACAAGGCGCCTGCCACAACGCCTGGCCATTTTTTGGTTGCAGCCATCATTGTTGTTTGGCGGGCCCAGGCTGGGGATTTGAACCCGCCACCTTAGGTGTATGTGGCTGGCGCCTTAGCCGCTTGAGCCACAGGCGCCGAGCCTATAAATTAGTTTCTAAACTAACATGTCATTTAAGATAACATATATTTACTCACAGAGTATAACCTATGACATTTCAACATTTCTACCCCGAGTTATTTAAGGACAAACAATAGTTCTATGTATATACGTATAAATGCACATACACAGATGTGTGTAGTTTGTATTTATTCTCAAAAAGCACCCTGGAAAAACTGGCCCAGTGTGAACTTGTAGTCTTCCCTGCACAGGACCTTCTGGGCTTCAGATGAGGGAACACAAGGCTTACCAACTCAAAGGGAGCTCCAGCTCTTAGTTGCAGAACTCATGGCAGCAGATGCATGCCCATTTCCACATGTCCACTATTCTGAAAATAGCAGCAAGCAGTTGCATGGTATGTACCCTGTACACCTCTCAAAACCAAAAATAATAGGTAACTAATTTTGATTATCTCCAGAATAGTATTATTCATAATTATCTACTCATGGATGTATACTCTTCAAAGTGGGAGCAAACTTGGAAGTAAAATACCTTTAACAATAAAAATATTTATGTTTCTTTTAGACTAGAAGGAAAAATATTATTTATCTATAAGTCAATCATTAAGTATATAAATTGCACAAACATTATTTAGTTACCATTATGCCTGGTGCAGATTATGATGAGAATTTTATATTGTTATAAATATTATGCTTATTTTATTTATTATGCTTATTTATTTATTTATTTATTTTATTGTATGTCTTCATGAATAAAAAAGAAACAAAAATATAGTGAAGCTTTACATTTTCCAACTGAATTTCCCACTAGGCACTTTTTCAGCTTATTAATATCAAAATGTTTAATTAGAATTCACTGTGGTCAAATTCTGCAAGATAAAGATTCTGCAAAAATGAATACTTTATATCTGATTATTATTGCATTTCTATACTTTTTAAAATGCTGTAAAACAAACTTACCGGATTTTGGATATGAAACCAGGAACACATCATCTTCTCTTGCATCAAAAGAATCCAGAGAATTTAGAAGTTCTTCTGAAGACATGGTGGAAAAGAGTATACCCTTGAATTTATGAAGAACATTTAACTGGTTCTGGGATGACATCTTTTGTCAAATTTATCAAAAAGTACACTGGCTTCCCACAAAGCACAGAGCAAGTATGGTTCTTGGTCTTTAGCTCAGGGGCTAAGTAACTGTAGAGTAACTAAGCTGGCATTATAAAGAGTAAGGGAGCCAAAGTCTACTATGAAAATGATGCTATCTGAATTTTTCTGATAACACTTATTACATAAAGTTTCCTTCAACTGGACACTCAGGAGTGTTTGTATGCAAAGCTACCAAGCTATTAGAATGTCATCATTATATAAGGGAACTAAAATTAATCAAATTCTTTGGCCTAGATAAGGAAAGGGTTTTAGTGGCTGTAATTGATTAGGTCATTATAGAAATGATTAGAAAATTAGATTTCTTTCCATTAATATTAACACAGAGAAGAGGAAGTAGATAGTATTGCATTTTAGAAAAGGGGTGAAAAGAGAATTATAAATTTTTCTGGGAATCAGCAGATAAATGTGTGGCTAAAGAAAGATAAACCATACAAGCAGTACTTTAGATAAGATAATATGGAAATCAGAACACCCAAGTCAGAAAAGAAATATCTTAAGCTTTGACGTAACCAAGAAGTTTCAGGTTGAAGTGAAGAGACGCTTGTCTGAATCATTCTTACCTTTCATCACTAATATTGTATTATTCTGTATTCATTTAGATACAGCAACTAAGTGCCCAGTTATTTCAGTGAACCACAGTTGAATCATCTTAGTTGCTTTGTCTAACCATCAAAGAAATTATACACCAAAAAAGAAACAAGCAATACTTTAACTGAGGTCTACTTAGGGAGACATAATTGAAGAGGATATTCAAGACAGTAAATGAAAGTGAAGTTTAGAATAATCACATACATAGAAAATTCCAAAGAATCTACAAGCAACTAGAATCAATATTTGAATTGAGCACCGTTGCTGGATTATGAGGTCAATTCATGAAAATGAATCATATTTTTGTATATTACCAATTAAAAAATAAAATTTGAAAAACTAGGGTAAAGTTTAAAAAAGAACAAGTAGAGTAATAAATAAAATATATGCAAGGCATTGAAGACTACAAAGTATTACAGAGGTTAGTTAAAGAGGACCTAAATAAATAGAGAAATATACCATGTCTGTAGACCAGATGAGTCAATATAATTAAAGTCAAAATTCTTCATATTGATTTATAAAGTGAGTTCAGTTTGATCAAAATCCTAGGTGCATGCATGTGTGTTTGTGTGTATTGATAAACAAGCATTTATATGGAAATAAAAAATCCCTAGAATGGCCAAAGGAGAACAAAGCACAGGACTTATGCTGTCAGAGTTCAAGATTAACCATACAGCAACAATAATTGAGATAGTGCAGTGTGAACTCAAGGCTCTATATATAAACCAATAGGGTAAAATGAAGAGTACAGAAAAATGTACACACATAAGTGGTCACTTGATTCACTCAAAAGTAAACTTTAGTAAGGAAAGGATGTCTTTTAATGCATGGTACTCATTCTTTTGGATCCATAGGGGAAGTAAAATACATCCTACTTTATACTACATACAAAGAACCAGTCAAGATAGAACAGAGAACTAAATCTTAAAAGTAAATAGCTTACAGTAGAAAATATAGGGGAATATTTTCACAATCTTTGAAAAGGTCAAGATTTCTTAAATTGGGTACACAAATCCTGAACCACTAAAGAAAAAGATTTATAATTGAACTTCTTTAAATTAAGAACCATTAAATGGTGATTAAGAATTGCCATTTAAAGAGTAAAAAGCGGGGTGGAGTTAAGATAGTGGACTGCAGCCAGATTTCCACAGAGGCTCCTGTCCAGAAGACTTAAAGGACAGAAGTTTAGCAAGTAAGCTGATGGTTTGGAGCTAAGCCAAGAGAGAAGAATGAAGAACACACAACTTTGCTGAGACGAGCTTCGACCCCCCCCAAAATACAATCAAAAGGTGCAAAATCCACCACCAGAGGCAGCAGAGTCCTCTGCTCCTAGAGCTGCGCATGACATGGTCGGCGGTGGAGGAGTCCACTGCTCCGGGCGGGCCCATAATTGCTTGCTAGAGTCACACGCGCCCCTTGGGGAAGCGGTGGAGGAATCCCCCACTCCGGGGAGGCCCAGAACTGCTTACTAGGGCCATACGTGTCCTGGACAGTGCTGGAGGAGTCCTCTGCTCTGGGCAGGCCCAGATCTGCTTTCTAGAGCCACGCGTGCCCCATGGGGACTGGCAGAGGAGTCTCCAGCTCCCGGCAGAACTGCTTGTTAGTGCAGGCATGAGCCGCAGGTGGCAGCAGAGGATTCCTCCACTCTGGGTGGGCCCAGAACTGCTTGCTAGAGCTGCATGTGACCCGTGGGCAGCTGCGGAGTAATTCCCAACTCTGGGTGGGCGAAGAACTGCTTGCTAGAGCCATGTGAGATCTGCAGGGGGCGGTGGAGGAGTCCCAGGCTCTGGGCAGGCTGAGAACTGCTTGCTAGAGCTGCGCACATCCCGCGGGTGGCAGCGGAGGAGTTCCCTGCTCCAGGCTCCCACACTGGGCGAGCCCAGAACTGCTTTCTAGAGCCATACAAGCCCTGCAGGGACAGTGGAAGACCCCCCCCATTCTGGATGGGCCCAGAAATGCTTGCTAGAGCTGTGCACGACCCGCAGGCAGCAGCAGAAGGGTCCCCAGCTCCAGGCATGCCCAGAACTGCTTGATAGAGCTACGTGTCCTATGAGTGAGATGGAGGCGTTCCCCACTCCAGACACCTGCGCTGGGCAGGCTCAGAATTGCTAGAGCTGTATGTTCCCATCATCCCTGACTGGCTGCCCAAGACCTATGAGAGGACGGTCAGTTGAAAGGGAACCATACTACAACAGCAGTACACCGAGGTGAAGAGCAGTAGCCACAGCAGTGGGAACAACAAGGCTCATACCCCTCAGGCTCTTCTGGACAAACACACTTTGCCTCTCTGGGCAACCAGAGGAAGCTGGTATCTTCTCCAGTGGAGGCCACTGACTGAAAGGTTCTGGTACAGCCCCCACAAGGTGTAAATTCAGCATGGGGCAGAATCAGTGGAAAAACTCTGATAATTCGAATACCCAGAGTAGATCAACTCCCCCAAGGAAGGATGGGGCAGCTGCAATTGAAAATCCAATCCATAAGCAGATGGCTGAGATGTCAGAAATTGAGTTCAGAATTTGGATAGTAAATAAGATTAACAGAATGGAAGAGAGGAGGGAATTAGAATTTCAAGAAATGATTCAAAAGATGTCTCAAGAAATGATTCAAAAGATGTCTCAAGAATTCAATGATTTCAAAGATAAAATGACCAAAGATTTTGAAACACTGAGGCAAGAGGTTGCAGCCCTCAAAGATCTGAAAAATATGGTAGAATCCCTTGGTAACAGAATGGAACAGGCAGAAGAAAGGATCTCTGACATTAAAGGCAAAGCTTCTGAATGTTCCCAAGCACACAAGGATGAAGAGAAATGGAAAGCAAAAACAGATCACTCTCTCAGAGAGCTCTGGGATAATTCGAAGAAAACTAATTTCGTCTTATAGGAATCTCTGAAGGTGACAATGTGGCTTCACAAAGCACAGAGGCTCTACTTCATGAAATTATGAAAGAGAACTTTCCAGACATGCCAAGAGATTCTGAAATTCAGATAGCAGACAATTTCAGAACCCCAGCACGACTCAACCTGAACAAGACATCCCCCAGGCACATCATAATTAACTTCACTAAAGTTAATATGAAAGAGAAAATTCTGAAAGCAGCTAGATGTAAGAAAACCATAACCTACAAGGGGAAGAATTTTAGAATGACTGCAGATATCTCTGCTGAAACCTTTCAGGCTAAAAGAAGGTGGTCATCAAATTTTAACCTCCTAAAACAAAATAACTTTCAACCCAGGATCCTGTATCCAGCTAAACTGAGTTTCATTTATGATGGAGAAATTAAATGCTTTAATGACATTCACATGTTGAAGAAATTTGCTATGACTAAACCAGCCATTCAGGATATTCTCAGACCTAT